TTTACAAAAATTTTATAAATTGATTTTTGTTTATTTTTTTGTTTATTTTTAGAAAAAAATAAACTACAAACGCGTTTGGTAATTGACAAAATGTTTAAAAAAAATTAAAAATATAAAAAAAAGTGAGAAAATGGCAAGTGGTGACAAGTGGCGGCGGAAAACGGTGGTGGAAAGTGGTGACGGTGGGTGGTAGGTACTATGCACCTCACTTGGCACTCTCCAATCTTCAACGTTTTCACCAAGGCATCGTTATGTGGATGTTGTACCAAATCTAGGTCTGCCTCAGTAAAAGAAACCATTAGGCTGTGGTACTCATTTGTCCTAGGCTTCTTTTACCGGACCTGATACACATGCTGCAGGTGCCTTACCATCTGAGTTCCCCAACGTACATCATTCTCATTGACCTTCGAGTGAATTACATTGATCACTCGATGTCCATATGCTTGCTGTGGTGGCGGTGGTGTTGCTGGTCCCTTGGGTAGCCTTGTTTGCTCTTCCCTCGTTCTGTCCTCATCTACTAGGTCTCTCAGGTGACCCTGTCTGACCAGATCTTCCAAGTGTGTTTTCAGAGACCTACATCTCATAGTTTCAACATCTGCCTCTCTCCAAAAACACTTTTGCTCCTCTTTCGTTCTAAAAACCTTCACCCCACACTAAAAATCTTTTATTTTTTGCAATCCATTGGGTCTAGATCTATCATCTCTCACAAGTCTTGAAGATCAAAGCTAGAATTTCACATTGTGTGGTGGAACTCGAAAATCCCTCATCTTTGGCTCTAGGGTTTCATCAACCTCTTCATCAAACTCGAGGTAGGGATTTCTTGAGTTACATATATAGGTTTTGCAAGGATTGATGAGGGTTTTGGACTTGTTTTGGGTATAATGTGAGGGTTTGATTTTTGTTCTTGAAACCATCTTGGTCAAGGGAATAGTGACTTCATTGGTATCTCTTTCAAAGGGAGCCGTAAAAACTCTGTTTTGTAAAAAAAAAACTGAAAACTCAAAATGGAAACACATTTTTTGTATTTTCATTTTTTGGCCAAATTTATAAACTAAGACCACTGATTTATAAATCAAAAATTTTACCAAACAAGTTTTTATTTGAATTTTTAAAATTTTTGTAAATATAAACAGAAAACTGAAAACGTAAGCGTTACCAAACGGCACCTAAGTTTTTTCTTTTTTTGGTGGGTAACACTTGCTAAATTATTTTTAACTAAAAGAAAAAGTTTTCACATTAAACATCAATCGGACACGAATCAAAATAACACCATATGACAACATGAAAATAAATGAATTCAACTAATGTTGAAGTAATTATAAAATAACATAATGTGATACACTTTCTTAATTAAAAATCCTAAATTTTGTTCAAAATTAGAGACCTGAGACGACCGCCGTCTCACCTGAGCGCTGGCCCTGCATTTATGAAATGAAGCCACAAACATTTTTCCTTGTTTAGTCATAAAACAATAATAATAAAAATTAAAAAAATTATAAGCATTTCTAAAAGTTATGTAAATATAAAATAGTCATCAAAAGTCAAACTCATTTAACGTCCAAGATGTAATAATTACCCATATATATATATATATATAATGGAGAGTATATACTTGAAAATTAAAGAGAAAATTTCACTTCAATACAAGTTTAAAAAATTATTTATATATTAATGATAAACTTTACACCATTAAAAATTAAATTTATAAACTTTATCATTTATTTAAAATTTTATTTTAAACTCCGTAACGAACTGTAATTACCCCAGAATTAAACAAGGCGAAATTCACGCACCCTCGTGTAAATATTTACATATATAGAAAATTGTTATTTCATGGTGATTGACATATTTTGAGAAACTTTTCTAACAACTTTAAGCATAGTGTTATTTGGAACTCTTTTTTGAGACAAGTGGATTGTTCTTTGGAGAAGAGTTTCTTCTGACCGAGAACATTGTCAACGGCTTCCAAACCCTTAAAACATTCCCAATGCCTGTAAATGCAGAAATCCATCAAAAACACTGTTGTGAGGAAGACCCACTGTCACATCATTCACCTCCTCTGTCTGTAGCTGGCAACAAACCCATCTAACCCTCCAAACTCCGTATAACAACCCACTTGTTACCTTCATGAGTAACTAACTAACTTGAACTAACATTTTCCTAATGTCATTTTCAAAATGAGGGACTGTAGAGAGAAATGGGATTTGAGGGAGAGAAGAAAGAAGCATGTATAACGGAGAAATCAAATGTTATCAAAATAAATAGAAGCCGAAATGAGAAAGAACTACCAAAATATGAAGATTTAACAAAATGAATCATTAGTTTCGTTTCATTGAGAAATGTTTGTCAATGACTTTGGTTGTGTTTGGTTTGGTTTTGGAAGGTAAATTTTTTAACATAATTTTGGAGAAAAAGTTTAGAAATTTTTTTGATTTGTTTAGTTGTATATTTTGGAAATAGTTTTGGAATATGAGAGTTTGGAATGATTTGATATTTTGTTATAGTTGAGTAATATTTGTAAGAGAAAAAGTGATTAAAAATGAGAGAAGAGAGAGAAAAAGTGGTTGATTGATGTGTAAAAGAGATAAAGGGTTTGTTTGGTTTGTTTTCTAGAAAAATTTTTAGGAAAAATTCTCTACAAATAAATTTTCAAGAGTAATCAAATCAAACAATTTTTTCTAAAAAAAAATCTCAAAATTTTGTTTGGTTACATATTTTCCAAAATCACTCTCTCTCTCTCTCATACATATCAAATCAATCATTTTTTTTAAAACTCTCTCCTCAAAATAATTTTTTAAAACCATTTCTAAAAAAAAACAAACCAAACAAGTTTATGAGAGAGAGAATAATTTTAGAAAGTAAGTAATGAAACAAATCCCAAAATTTTTTTTTGTAAAATAACTGATGTATTATTATTGATTGTATTGTTGTATATTATGTATATTACAAGGATTCCTATTATATAGGAGAGGATTTGGGAGTAGGTGAGGAGTAGGTGTAGGTGGTAGTGGAGGTGGTAGGTGGAGTGGGTGGTAGTGGAGGTGGTAGGTGGAGTGAGTGGTAGTGGTAATTTACATTTACACAATTTACATTAACAGTCCCCCTCAAACTCAAGGAGGATAGGCACTAGCCAACTTGAGTTTGGAGAGAGTCACAAAACAGAAAAATAAACTGATAAATAAAACAGGATAGGAGACACGGTATGGTCGTGTCAGACTGTTGTAGGAGACACAGTGTGGTCGTGTTAGACCGGTGTAGAAGACAGTTTACGGGGTCATGTCGGACCGATGTAGAAGACAGTTTACGGGGTCATGACGGACCGTTGTAGCAGGACAGCTTACGAGGTCATGCCGGACCGATGTAGCAGGACAGTTTACGAGGTCATGTCGGACCGATGTAGCAGGACAGTTTACGAGGTCATGTCGGACCGATGTAGCAGGACACTGTATGGTCGTGTCAGACCGATGTAGAAGACAGTTTATGGGGTCATGTCGGACCGTTGTAGCAGACAGTTTACGGGGTCATGTCGGACCGTTGTAGCAGACACTGTGTGGTCGTGTCAGACCGATGTAGAAGACAGTTTATGGGGTCATGTCGGACCGTTGTAGCAGGACAGTTTATGGGGTCATGTCGGACCGTTGTAGAATGTTGTGGTGGTGTACCAAGGGGGCGACTTAGGGAGTGCGCCATGAGCGACTTATACATGATACTGTGTATAACCCCCCCTCAAACTCAAATAGGTGTGAAGATAGAAACCTATTTGAGGTTGAAACAAAGGGATTGATAAAGTCGACCAGTGTAGAAGATACTGTATGAGTGTGTAGATAGGCTGCCCAAAAGATATACATGGATAGAGATATCGAGCCCTCAAAAGTCGTGCCCGCAAAAGGCGTGCCATCAAAAGGTGAGCCGGAGACGCGACGAGGCACGTGGGCGACAGAGCAGCGTGTCGGCCGCGTCGTCAGTGTCGATATAAACCAATGCGGAGGTTGAGGCTGAGGCAGACAAAAAACTTCTGAAAAAATCCTCTGAAAAACTCGTCCTTGTCTGAGAGAGAAACTCTGTAATATGCTGTAACACTCTGTTGCCCAGAAAATGGCTTCGTCTTCCCGTGGGCTGCTCACTCTCTTTCCCGACCTCAATGAGTCCACAAGAGAGGTAACCGGTGCGGTTGCCAGTGAACCTCAACCAAACACCTCTGGTTTTGCTCCGTTGAACTTTCCGATGCGGTCGGTGGAGCAAAAAATGGCGGTGCAAACTGATATTGAGGCCAATCAGTATACTTTGAAGTCATGTGTGGAGACCATGACGGCGGTCACAAACCTGTCGCACCGGCTGCAAAGTAGGACAAATGAGGTGCAGCAGTTAAACGCCCAACTGGCTCTGCTCCAACGCATGTATAAGGATGCGCAAGCAGAGATAAGTGTGCTAAAGACGGAAAACAAGGAGCTGAAGCGGAAGGCCACCGTGATGTTCCGATTTGGAGGACCGCCATATGCTGCAGTAGAGGAGCAGGAGGGAGTGAACGTGCTCGGTGGCGTGGGAAACACGGAGGCAGCACCGTCAAGGGCCGCGCAGGACAGAGGCAAGAAGAAGAGACCGACGGCCGAGTAGAGAAGAAAAATCCCGCCTGTGGATGTGGTGGTTGTGGTTTTGGGTGTTTGTTTTTTTTTTTGTTTTTTTGTGTAAAATTGTGATCGGGGTTGATCCCTGAGATGAATAAAATATGGTTTGGTGTGCAAAGCTATATGGTATGAATGGAATTCGAAAAAGATTAAAAATAATGTGAAAGAAAAATAAAGAAAGAAATAATAAAAATATATTTGAAATCAAAAATGAAAGATGGGAAAAGAAGGAAAGTGGTTTGGAGAAAAGAAATAAAAATAATGGAGTTTGAAATCAAACGGAGGAGAGATTTTTTATTTTTTTTTATTTATTTTTTTTTTTTTATTTTTTTTTTAATATAAGATAATAAAAAAAAAGATATATAGATATATAGATAGAAAATAACGAAAGTGGGGAACAAGGAGTGCACCAATAAGCTTTATAATTAAAAAAAAAGTTTGGGCGGTGGATGCAAAGTGAGGAGAGAGAGTGGGTGTAAAGTGATGTAAAGAAAAAAATAAAGAAATAAAAGAAGAAAAGTAAAAAAGGGTGGTGAGTGGAGCTTGATGTTTCTTTCAACCATTCTTGGTTGCTGGAATGCTATGCGCAGAAGGCTTTGAGTGGATGGATTAAAAAAATAGTTGCATCATAAAGTGCATGTGGGACGGTGGCGTGCTGTCTGTCATCTCCTTCTGTGTATGATAGGAGAGAAAGAGATGGCAAGCAGTGGGGAGAGCCAAGGCCTTGGTAATGTTCAAAGTGATACCGAACTGAACATTGTTCTTGAATGCTTCGCAGAGACACTCGGCGTTAGATGTGAGCACCGTTTTGAGGACGGAGCAGCAAGTTCCCTCCGGCTTCTTGACGGTGCTGCCGTTGGTGACGTAGGAGAGGCAGTCGGTCATCTTGAGGACCAGGGTGGTGCAGTCGACGGCCGGCGCCGGAGCGGCGGCGTGAGAGTGGGAGTGAGCGGAGTGTGCAACGGAGAAGACGCCGATGCAGAGGATGGAGAAGAGGAGAGTGGAAGCAGAGCTCTGCAGTATCTCGGTTTGGATGGAGAGAAGAGCTCCGTCGGATTCAATGGCTGGAATGACTGGATATGAACTGCTCAAGAAGGAGTCATTGACTTTGAGAGAAATACCCGTGGTGATCATGTCATCTGAGAATATCCTAGCTCGTATCAATCGATGTTTGTTGGTATGGATCATTTCCTGTGAGCCTCTTGCTGGAGTTGATGGAGGTTTCAATTGGTTGAGATCCGGCGGGCGGTCAAGGCAAGGTTGCCGCCCGCCGGAAGGCGAAGAACACCAAGAGCTTAACCTATAGCTCTGATACCATGTAAAATAACTAATGTATTATTATTGATTGTATTGTTGTATATTATGTATATTACAAGGATTCCTATTATATAGGAGAGGATTTGGGAGTAGGTGAGGAGTAGGTGTAGGTGGTAGTGGAGGTGGTAGGTGGAGTGGGTGGTAGTGGAGGTGGTAGGTGGAGTGAGTGGTAGTGGTAATTTACATTTACACAATTTACATTAACATTTTTGAAAAACAAACCAAACAAGGTGATTTTGAAACATTTTTTCAAAAAATTTCTAATCAAACAAAATTAATTAATTTTTTTTAAAAAAAAAAAATTGTGTTTTGTGAGATAAACCAAACGAGGCCTTTTATCTCTCGAACGGAGTAAAATCTTCTTCTTGTTTTATGAATCCAAAAAGGCATCAAAGTAAATAGCTGCCAAACTAGCTACATTTATCAAGTTTTCTTTGACTTTCTCGGAACATTGAGAAAATCCTATTTTGGGGAAAATACAACGGGTGTAATAATGGCCCGTTCGTAATCTACACCTAGTTGGTTCGTAATTTACTAACCTGTCAATCATTTACATTAAACTCCACTTTAATAATCTAATATAAAAAAAATAAAAATAAAAATAAAAACAAAAATAAAAATCAAGGAAAAAACGAAATGAAATGAAATAGTAAAAAATAAATTGTTGATCAATCATCGGAGAAGACAGACATTTCAGTCGCGTTGCCCAATGATATGTCATCTAAATCATATTGAATTCGCTCATTTTCACTAAAATTTTGTTTTCTTGTAAGCGCGTGCATATGATCCCTGAATATCATCAATGCCTCAATCATTTCGGGTGAAAGCCTGCTCCTGTAGTCACTCAGCACCCGTCCACCTGCACTAAAAGCTGTTTCTGAAGCAACTATAGAAATAAGAACGGTTAGTATATCACGGGCCATTTGTGAAAGCACAGGCCACATAGATTCATTTTGTTTCCACCATTCCAAAATGTCAAAATTATCGGAATCATCTACTAACGGGCTTTCCAAATAACGTTGTACTTCAGAACTACTTATACTTGTATCTTGAGATATTCTTCTACTTTTTATTACTGTGAAAATACTTAATCTCCCGCCTCGAGATTGTTGGACTGCTAGTGTAGTGTGTGTAGGTGTATTTACAGATGTAGATGCAGTTGCAGTTACCCTGTATTCTTGAAATAATCTGTTACATGTTTGCATAATAGGGGCAAACTGTATTTGATCAGCGAAAATGCGCTCTAAAAATTCTTGTAAACCAATTTCTTTATACCTAGGATCAATTATTATAGCTAAACCTAATAGATGAGGGAAATGATGAAAATATTTATCAAATTTTTCTTTCATTGAAGTAATAATGGTTACATAAAGTTCATTACCCATATATTTTATGAAAATTTTAATTATTTTTGCTAGCATATGTAAAACAAATGGTGAAGTAGGAATATATATATAAGAAAATAATTTTGTTGAAGTATCGAAAACTTTTAAAAAATCTTTATACAAGGCTGCTTAGCGCCAATTAAGTTCAGTGGGTGTCAGTACTCCTCCTATTGATGTTGTTGCAAAAAAATAAATCTATTGCTCTTCTTTGTTTTCAAGCTATTTTTAACAAATTATATGTTGAATTCCACCTACTATCTACATCTAAAATTAATTTTTTAAATGACTTATTTTCTCGTTGACAAATTTTTCTATATTCTGAAATTCGATTACCATAAGACATAATAATAACAATTGCATTTTTTATTACAAGTACAGAAGTTCCGTATACATGCATAGCTTCTTTAACAATCAAATTTAAAATATGGGCACAACAATGAACATAAAATAAATCATCATCAACAAGTAATTGTAAAATTGATTTTAAATGGGTTACAGTTTGATTATAATATGATGCATTATCTAAACTAATCGTAAATATTTTATTTTGTAAAGCCCACTCATATAATACATTTCTTATTTTTACACCAAGCGAATGACTAATGTATAGAAGTTCAATTAATTTAAATGAAATAATTCTTTTATTTAATTTCCAATCATTATCAATAAAATGTGCAGTGATACATTGATATTCAAAACCATTATTTGACTACAGATCAGATGTTAAACAAACTCTTTCATTCAAATTTTTAAAGATATCAAATAATTCACTTTTAATATTCTCAAATTTCTTTAAAATCCTGTTTCTAGTAGTATTTCTTGAAAAACTTTGATATTGTGGTGCAAAACTTTCGTGAATCATTTCGGTAAAATCAGGATATTCACTAGTACTAAAAGGTTGTTCTTTTTTAATAATATAATCAATTACAGAATTTTGTGTACGTATAGGATCATATGAAAATATTTGCAAATTACTAGTTGATGAAACCCCTAATTGCATTTGACTTCGAATATCAGGTTGTTTACTTTGTAAATATTTGTCAAAACGCCTTTTTAAATGACTAGTACCTCCTGCAGATGCAGCACTAAGTAAACGTGCACAATATTTATATTTTGCTTTAAATGTAATCGTGTCATCAGGATTATTTATAGATATTTTTTCAAAATGTTCCCAAACACTACTACTTCTGCTCCTAGATGATGATGCAACTGTTGGAAGAGGGATATTAGAAGGAGAATCAACAGATTCATGTGGTGTAGTATATGTATCAACATCGACATAAACATTAGGCATATTAAGATTCATAGTAATGCAAGTAAAACAATACATAAGAATTAACAATTAATTTAAATAATGTGTAAATTCAATCAGTAAAAAATAATAATTAATATATGTGCATAAATAATTAATGAAAAAAATGAGCAGTTAATAAATTTAATTAAACTAATTAATGTTACCGACTGGCGAATGCAATATATAAATTTTCTTCTTCTGCTAAAAGTTTCTTGTTGCACAATTGCAATAGCCACTTAGGGATGTCACTTCAAAATTAATTGAGAGTTCAGAGAGATTGAGAGAGTCGAAGAGAGAGAGAGAATGATTTGTTATGAAATATATTTTGAAAAGTAAAATATATTTATACTAGTTTAAATTCCAACCGTTTAAATTATGACCGTTTTATATATATCTGTTTAAGTTGTAAGAGATGCAAATTTGCAATGCAACGGCTCAAAATTGAGGCTACGCTGGTACTATAATAGTAGGTAGGGACTGTATAGTGGCATGACAAAGTTTTAGGAAATGGTTGCCTCCTTTTTGAGCAATCATTTGGACGATGCTCTTTGGCTAGTGGGAGCCATCATGGGTCCCGTTTTGCTAATCGGGACCGTTCAATGTGTACAACTCGTCGAGTATTATATATTTAAAAAATCACGTTGATCGGATATCTATAACTATCTGATCGAATTAGTTTTTTTTATCAACCATTAACTATAATACTATGCATTTTTATACCAAATTGATTTGATCATGTAGTTAGCAATATCCGATTAATGTGATTTTTTATAGGCATCTAGTAATGGAAGAGTTCTACACATTGACTGGTTCAGATTATCAAAATGGGACTCGTGGTGAGCCCCCACAAGCCCAGTATTACCTTCCAACTTAGTATATATATATATATATATTTTTTCTTTCTACACATTGACTGGTTCAGATTATCAAAATGGGACTCGTGGTGAGCCCCCACAAGCCCAGTATTACCTTCCAACTTAGTATATATATATATATATATATATTTTCTTTCACGTTAGCTTAGGTGCAATTTCTCATCAGGTTAGGTGCACTTTCCCATGAAACAATCAATGAAGTAAGAAATTAAAAATAAATAAATAAGGCCAGTCACACACACATACTGTGCTACTGTGCACTGCCACTGCCAGTGATACATCATATCATCATTTTCTATCAAATAATTATTAATTTAATAAATTATTATTAATTTTTGTTTTATTTTTAAATTATTAATATTATTTATTTAATTATATTAATTTTTATTTAATTTTTTTATTTTTTTATTTTTATAAGATCAATATTTTTATTTATTTAATTATTTTATTTTTTATTTTTATAAGATCAATCATTTTATTTTTTTACTTTTATAAGATCAATCATTTTATTTTTTTAATTATTTTATTTTTTTATTTTTATAAGATTAATCTTTTTATTTATTTAATGTTTTTTATTTTTATTTTTTGAAATTTGATCATTGGTAGAGAGAAGAATTGATGGTTGGGCCGGGCTGGGCCCCAAAATGGAAGGCCTGGGTACTGGGCTGGGCCCCGGCCCGGACTCGGGCCCGGGCTTAACTGGGCCGAAACGGGCCGAGCCCAGCTCGGGTTTCAGGCAGCCCACGGGCCTCAGGCCATTTTTACACCCCTACCAGTGGTGGTCAGAATTTTTTTTACAAATACATGAAAAACTTTAGAATTTTAATTATTAATGTTTATAAAGTTTTAAATTTTCCTATTATTTTCATTGTTTTATGAACTCAAGATGCAAATTAACTGTTAAACTAGTTTCATTACCAAGAGTTGCTCTGATTTTATCTCTAAACATTGAAAAGAATGAAATATTTTATTATTTTATCTGCGCACATATTCATGTTTTGAACATTTTCTCAGCAATTCCATCTACTTCATCCATGTAGAGATTCAATAGTGTCTTTTTAAACTTCACTCAACTATGCATATCAAAAATATTTTAATATTACACATTCATTCGTGAAAAATGGTCATTGGTGGCCGGTTGAAAATTTGCCAAAAAAGTTGATAGAATGGTTGTCAGACATTCGCTAGAATGGTTGTCGGCACCGGCGATGGGTGGTGTCGTCGTCAAGCGACAGTAGTTGGCGGTTGATAGTCGTGTGTGAGAGTAGAAAGAGAAAAAGTAGACCAAAAAATTATTACTTTGTTTGAATTGGAAGACCGTGACAACACAATGGTAAAAGTGGAACAAAATGTCTTTTAAAACAATAATTCTTACTTTTCACCAATATATTTCAATCAATTTGTTTTTATCACAAAAAACAAAGATCAATCATTGAATCTAATGTCATATCTTAACCATAGAAATGCCCTTTTCACTAATAAATCCTTTTAACTATATCTTCGTATCTAATCTTATAATGACATGTATTTTAAACTCAATTCACATTACTATATCTATTATTATTATTATTATTATTATTATTATTATTTTCATGAATAAATGTGCAGAAGCTACAATCATTAACTCAATCATACAATAGTAGTTCCTCTCGTTTATACATATGATGCAACATTAAATTATAATTGATAAAAATGTCCTTAAGCTTACAATTACATAAATAAAAGGGGTTATACTCTTAATACAAATACTGACATTCCGCCTATAAATAAAATGATCCCATGGCCGAAAGTAAGGAAATTTCTCAACTCACAATAAATTAATTCTTTATCTCTAGACCTAAAAAAATTTAATAACATGAGATGAATATAAATCTAATAGAGATCCAAATAATTCTAATTAATATAATACAACACATATATATGATCATAGATATTCCACGTACTATATTCATAAATAGTCTTTTTCGTTATTCAAGATATGTGCATAGGCATACTTTTCATCACAATCATTTCTTGGCATTTAAGAGGGATCCAAAATTTTAACTTTCCATTTCGTCTTGAATAACTTGAGAAAACTTCTTAACTTTCAAATGTTTGAGAATCATTTCTAAAATACTCTCAATTCTCCTAAGGTAGATCAACTAAAGCAACACGATAACCATACTACAATTAGACAACGGCTATTCTACGTAAAGTCATAAAATAATTCCCGACAACCTATCACATCATATAGCTCACTAAAATCACAACAATAATTTCCAATTCTCAATAGTCTCGAAGGCTAGGGGTGTAATTTTGGCCTGGCCTAGCCCAGCTCGGTCCATTCGGGCTCGGGCTCAGACCGGCCCGGGCCGGACCCATGACGGGTCTTGCGGGCTCCCGCCAAAAATAGGGCCGACCCGACCCGACCCACAGACTAGAAAACTAGGCTCGAGTCCAAGCCTAGGCTCAGGGATATTCGGGCTTTGGACAGGCCAGTGGGCCGGACCCCTAGACTTGGGTCTAGGCTCGGGCTTTGGGCGGGCCTAAACAATTTTGTAAAAAATTTTCACTAAAATTTTATTATTTTCCATTAAAAATAACATTGGGCCTCGAGACGGGCCTTGAACGGCCCGATGGGTCGGGCCACAGGTCTGGCCCATGAGCCGGGCCGGGCTTCAAAACGATGGCCCAAGGCCATGGGCTCGGGCCTTAACGGGCCGAGCCCATCTCAGGCCGCAGACGGGTTTCGGGCCGCTCACGGTCCAAAATTACACCCCTATCGAAGACATCTCTCACATTTTTTGTCTCTAAAGTTTCACAGTTAATTTTGGATTAAAGTGTCATAGTTAATTTTTCTATCCAAACTAACATAAAAAGTTCGTTTGGGGATGTGTGTTGGGTTTTTATTTTTTTAGTTATTTTAGCTTGGGACTAAAAAATTTCGTTTATGATAGGCTTTTTGACTTTTGTGAGAGAAAAAATGAAATGATTATAGGTTGGATGTGATATTTTATCCTATTTGACTAAAATAACATATTTTGTCTTATATGACTATTTTAACCCCAATGGGACATCCTAAACGAGCACAAAATATATCAGACACTATTTTTTAGCGAGGTTTTGGTTTTCTAATAGAAGAGTGAAATTAATGTAATAAAAAGACAATTTTATCCAAAATTTGACCCAACTTAAAATTAGATTAATATGTTAATTAAAATAAAGTAAATTAAAATATAATTTTTTAAATAATTAAATAAAAATAAAAAATGATTAAGAACTTATCTAAAATATAATTAAATTAAAATTATATTAAAAAGTTAAAAGTTATAATAAATAATTAAATATTTACGATTAATTTTGATATAAAATATAATTAAATTAAAATTTTATAATTAATTGAACTAATGTTAGACATTATAAATTATGTGCATCAGAGAGAAGAAAGAAAGAAAATAACAAAATATATATATATAAAATTTGAGAGTATTATAGTCATTTCATATCTATAATTAATGGTATTGACGATTACACTTTAGTCCACAATTACATGAAAATTTTCTAATCATATTTAAACTAGAAGAAATAAAGTGCACACATGTCAAACTATAAGGAATAAAATGACTTTTATCCTAAAATTTATTGTATTTTTCCTAATTTCAAATGAAATTGGTATAATTTGCCCTTTTAACTTAACCGTTAAGGATGCTCATCAAGCGTTCAAACCCTGACCCAACCCCCATGTACGCCTCAAATTCAATATGGTTCTCTCAAGTTCCACCCATGGTCCACCATTCGCCATGTACCAACCCATCCCAACGACTCCACCCTCGTGAATTAATTGGAGGATCCATTTTAGTGCTCTGTGGATTTATTTTGGATTCTTATTAGGGGCTGTTTAGCAAGATGCTTGAAAATAAATTGACTCACTAAAAAATAAAATATGTTAAAAGTCAATAAAATAAAATTGTCACATTCAAATTATAATTATTTTATTTTTTTCTTTCACAAAATTATAAAAATGTCAAAAGCTCAACCCAAACTAAACTTTTTTAACTAGGCTGAAATAATCAAAAAAATCAAGCTAAAAAAGTTGTTTCCAAACGAAGGCTAGTAATATGAATATTTTAAACTTGCTTATAAATTATTCATGTAAAAAATTGCATTGACCAAATATCGATAACCATATAATTCAATCATTTTTTAAAAAAAATGAAATGATTTATTTTTTTAAAACAAGCATCATGCAAACATGTAACTATCGATATCTGATTAATCTGATTTTTTATATAGATGATTTACTCACAAAACAGTGGATCTAATAAGTGAGGTATTATCTGACTAAAGAATATGAGAAACATAATGAATAATAATTAGTGAGAGAGAATGATTACGTGATATTCCGAAACTATTATACAATTTTCCCCTAAAATTGACCTGTAAAAAAAAATTTGTATACTAGAACCATTGTTCCAACTAACTTAAATCAAATCAAAACACCACGTCCCCGGAGGATTAAATATTTTTCCCTCGTTTATAGGTATTGCTAACAAACTCACTCAGAAGATAAAATTGAAAACCATACATATATATATACATGCAACCTAACAAATATTTGACAAGAAGAAAACCTAACCATCTCCTGAAAGACAAACCTTGAAAGATTCACCAGGAATTCTTCTCTCTCCCTCTCCTCTCTCTCTCTCTCTTTCCCTGTATATATATCCTTTTGTCATAGATATAGTAGGTAGAGAGAGAGGAGGAGGAATAATGGTGGGGCAATCAAGGAAATGGATGATATTGGTGGCGAGTACATGGATACAGGCGTTTACGGGGACAAACTTCGACTTCTCATCATACTCATCGGATTTGAAATCGGTTTTGGGGATTTCACAGCTACAACTCAACTACCTATCAGTGGCGTCGGATATGGGAAAGGCCTTCGGGTGGTGTTCAGGGGTGTCTCTCTTGTATTTCCCTTTGTGGGTTGTCTTGTTCATCGCTGCTTTCATCGGTCTCATTGGTTATGGTCTTCAATGGCTTGTCATTCAGAGACTCATCACCTTGCCTTATTTCCTGGTTAGCTCTCTCTCTCTCTCTCTCTCTCTCTCTTGAATTTGCATTTCATTGGAGATGCTTAAGCTAAGAAAAAATGAAAATGAAGACCATAGTTTACTCTTCTTTTTTTATTATTTGATTTAATCTTCATTTTGTTGAGATTTAGGATACAGAAACAAACACATTATAGGATTTTTAAAAGTAGGGCATTTCTGAAAAATTGATATGAATTTTATGTTTCTTTCTTGTCATCGGTTTTGTGTTTGTAGGTGAACGAGAGAGAGGTTTCTTTTGTTACACGAGTTATTTGTTTTTTTTATTTGTTTGGTGTATGAGTTAAGAAGATTTTTATTTTCGACAATGCTACGTAGTTCAAATTTTGTGGCTCAAAAGTGGCTCAAATAGCCAAAACGACGTCGTTTTGAGTACAGAATAACATAAAAATGGCCAAAACGAATTTTGAATGGGTTTCTTCTCTTTATTTGTTTTCTATTTGTTCCATAATTTTTTGAGAAAGTTGTTTGTTTTTCTATTTTCTATTTTCTCGCTATGGATTCCTATTTTGTGGGAAAGCCTGTGGACTTTGAATTCACACACTATTAAGTATGTTAACAAAATATAAATCCTTATTAATTTACAATACTAGAGTTTAAAATTTTAAATGAGATTAATATATTTTTTGAATGTACGATTCATAATTTTGGACTAACTAAATTTTATATTTTGTTCAAACACTTGCTAACAAACTATGTGAACAAATTTATTTTCAAAAGTTTTTATTCTAAGTTACTTTTGCTTAAAAAAGTTAATTTGATAAAGAATGATCAGCCTTGGTTGTGAGTGAACCACCTCTCTCTCCTCCACAGTAGGTCATTTTGTGGTGGTTATGTGAAGATGATTGGGTCAAGGGTTGGCTATTCTATCTTGACTTTTCACCTACAAGTATCTTAAAAGAAAATTTGTGAAATTGATCCTTGATGTAAAATTTGATAGACTTGGCTGCACAAAATATTTAAAAAATAATAATTCAAAAACAATTCACATTTTAAAAAATAAGAGGATTTTTTTAATTTTCAAAAAAATTAAATTAAAAAAATATATAAATGATACAAGAGTGATTGGTATTTTCAATTTTTTTTTTTAAGTACTAAAAATGAAAAAAAATAATAATAATAACCAAACGAATCATAATTTTTACAAATAGTTCAGTAGTTGTCTCACCATATTAAAATTTCAATGCATATCAAATCACTAAAATTATTCTCTGAAAATATGGACCACCCTATTGTCATGCTGAGAGAATGAAAAAACTTGTCAACACAAGTAACTGAAATTACACGAGAGAAGGAGAATAAGCCAACACTAACCAAATTTACACCACATGAAATGTTTCAAAATATCCTTTTCCTTACTTCTTTTTTGTGTGAAGGTAAAAGAAAGAACACAATTGGTATTTAAGGCAATTTGTCTATTTCAAGAGGTTTGGAAGCCTCTATACATTTAGCAGAATTCACAATTCTTTGCTTGAGTGCTCTATGGTCATGTTTGATTCATAAGATTAATAGTGAAATATTAATAATTCTATTAAATTAGTGTGGTATTCACTATCCAATTGGATTAATATCCATTGGATTAATAATCACACCTCTATCCCATTACTAATAATCCTACAAATTTGTTGGATTAATTATCCATTGGATTAATAATCCTAAACCAAAATGTTAAAACAAACATAGGATAATTAGACCCACGAATTAATAATCCCAATCCTATGCTCTAATCCACCCAATCAAACATGACCTATAATCACACACTAAGCTTGGGCTACATCTACCAAATGGGTAATTATTTAGTAGTCGACGTAGAAGAAAATTTACGAGTGAAATTATATGAACTTGTCAATGTATGTCAAGTAGTTGAAAAACAAACGAATACCTAATTTAGTGTACTTTGTAATTCTTTATTTATCAGAAAATTTATATTAACAATGTCATATAATATTCCATTATTATCTAATACTTTTTCCTATCCAAAAGTGATTATGAAATATCTCTAGATGACAAGGCCAATTGTTTTCAAAATTAATAGAATCATCAGTAGAGAATCATAATATAGGAAAAGCTTCCCTCCAAATCATTGATTTGACTGTTGCGGACATGTAAGTCGATATTTAATTCACTTTGCTGATTCAAGTCGTTAATCTTTTACCGTCTCTGAGTATGTGCTTTGTTATATAGCAAGGGGCAAAATTCTTTGTTCAAGCATTTATAATCCTTTGTTCCTAAAAGTCTGTCTCTTGCCCCAAACATTTATAACTAGGCGTGAATTTTCGACCCGATGCAAACCAGGTTAGGTTAATATCAAAGGATTGATTTCATTTTTATTCGCTAAACTATTGTCATTTATTCTATTTCATAGCGAAACAATCAATTTCATTTATTTAGTCTCTAAAGTTTTTTATTTCAGTTTAGATAATCCCAATTAAAAACTCAAGCCTAACCTACTGGGCAAAAATATAAATTTAACAAAACAGACATGTTCTCACTCACACTATATTATACAACTCGAACTCTACAACCAAACATCCATCTTCTTCTCCACGCTTCTTCCCTCCCTCATCCTCTCTCCCTTTCCCCAACCTCACTTAAGTACATCAAATTCTAAAATGATTTTTGCTATCAAATTAAGCTTCAACGATTGCTAATTTAGACGACTGTTTCAAGTTACGTCACATAAAAAATTCTAAAGACTAAGTAGATGAAATTGATAATTCATATATGAAATAGAAAAAATTAAAATTAACAATAATTTAAATGATAAAAGTGAAATTTCCCCATTTCAAACTTGCATAACATAAATCTGATGTAACTAAGTCCTTCAATCTAATTGTTATATAAATAGCACTCTTACCTCATCCAATAATATTACAATTTTCCCTCAATATATATGTTGAAATGCACATATTGCTTGTCTATTTGTATTTTTTATCTGTTTTTAAATCTTTTTTTTTTTTTTTTTCTAGTTTAATCAAACCCTTCTATTAAAGTTTTTTTGTTATTTATTAAATGGTTACCAATGTGTGTGTTGATTATGTCATTCTTGTCATGTTCAGATTGACATGTATATAAACAGGTCAAGTAATTAAACAGGTTAGTTAGTGTGAAGGAGATTCTGACACGAATACAACTTGATACTAGATATTCTCAATCTAAACCTTACTTGCAAGCCACCATCTATAATTTTTAAATAAAAAATAATTAAATTAGTGACTATATCATAAATTTGTAAAGGGCAATTTAGGATTGGAATGTTAGGTAGAAGCCATATGGTTGGTAGAGTGCCCTATTCTCTACCAAGCTACACATTGGATAAAAAATTTAGTTTTGAAATCAATTTTAAAAGATAAATTTTTAAAAAGAGTTTTCAAAATTTATAAATTTATTTGGTTGTATATTTTGAAAATAATTTATAATTTTATAGTTTGAGATGATTTGTAACTTTTTTTTTTTTTTTTTTTTTGCGGTAGGTGTGAGAGAAAAAGTGAGTGATTGATGTGTAAAATGTGAAAGAATAAGAGAAAAGATAGAAAAATTGATTGAAATAATTTTTTAAAAAAATTATAAAACAACCAAAATTTAAATGTTAAACTCTCAAAGCCTCCATTTGGGAAGTGGGTTGGCTTTTCGGCTTTTTGGTTTTTTTGACTATTTTAGCTTGGGCTAAAAAGCTTAGTTTGGGAAGAGCTTTTTTGACTTTTTTTGTGAGAGAAGAGTAATGATTATGAGTTAGATTTGTCTTTTGTGGCTAAAATAGCTAAAAAAGCCCGAAAAAGCCCTTCCCAAACGGACCCAAAAATTATTTTCAAAACCAAACCAAACAGACAGCTAGTTTTCAAGGGTTGAAATCCCAAGCTTGGTATCACTTATTGCATTCATTTTGTGTAAGCAGTTGTCATATAATTGAAGGGTGGGTATGTTAGGAATTATAAAATAATAATGATAGAGAGCTCTAATTTTGAAGTTTTAAAGAAAACTCTCGTGATGCGGCAAGATAAAAAGAAAAAAAAATAAAATATAGACATACACATCACATCACATGTAGACTTCATTCCTTGTCATATCACTGAAATTCTCTTTAAAATTTCAAAATTGGAATTTTCAATTTTTATTTACAAAAATGATTTGGACCCCCAATTTTTCAAACCCCCATGACCCCCAGTGTTTTCTTATTGGCTGGAAATTTTTTTTTTTTGGCTGGAATTTTTTTTTTTTTTTTTTTTTTTCCTATCTGCCAATCACAATGCCCCATGTGGACTGGGGGTGCTGGGGGTCACCCCCACTTGGGGGTCCCCAGCACGGTTGTTTTATTTATTATAAAAAGCCTGAGGAACCCAAGTAAGGTATTGGCTTTCAGTTAGTCAGTACATGTCCTTCAAACCACCAGCAAACCATATTCTCATCTACCATTCATTATGTTGACTGGCAGACAATGTACTTACTTTGTGATGAAGTAATTCAACATATCATCCTCATCAGCCCTCTTTCTTTGCACATTACCTTCTCCTCCTCCTCTTCTTCTCCTTCCACAACAGTTTCTCCTGCTTCCTTTCCTTCTAACAGCTCTTTCATATATTTCTCACCAAGTTAATTTTTAGCTAAATATAACTATAAACTATGAAAATATTATTTCGTCGGTCTTAATAAATTAATATGACTAACTATTATTTATGTTTATCACAATAACTACAAATTTGTTGAGCCACTATTTATTGACTTTTCAATTGTCTATTAGTTTTTGATAAATTTGATCTCACTTCACTTTCTTAATATAAATCATTGAAAGAATGGATAATAAAATAGTTTTTTAATAAAATAAAGTTTGAATGGAGAGTCTAATGGATGGTAAGTAATTTTTTGCCTTCGTTCGTAAAAAACTAATTTAGGTCAAGTTTGGCTAAACTAAAAAAGTGCACTTATTTCATCTTTTTATCTTTTTTGAGTCACATCAATCAACATCCCCTCTCTACTTTTTCTACACATAATATAAAAAAAGTCAAAAAGTGTACTTCTTTAGTCTTTCCAAACTTGGCCTTAGCCTGATTTTTTTTTTTTTTTTTTGACTAATTTAACCTGACTAAACTAGTTTCGTTGAGGAAGAACTTTTGAATTCTTTTAGTTTGGATGTGATGATTATGAGAAAAAATAAAATGATTATGATTTAAATGTACTATTTTGTCTCATTGACTAAATTAACTTAATTTGTCTTTTTATACTTATTTAGACATTTTAACTCTTCTCAAACAAGCTCTTAGATCATAATTTGATTCAAAACTTGTTGAGCATGATGTGTATGCTCTTAGAGAGCTTTTTAGTTAGGTTATTTACATGGAAGCCCTCTAAACTATTGAAAAGTATCTATTTGACCCCCATAAACTATAAAAGCGTATAAATAAACCTTATAAACCGTAAAAAACTTACAAATGGAATCCCTAACAGAACAGATCAAAGTGAAATACGCCAATAATTTGGTGTATTCCTATGTACACTTTTGATAATTTAGGAGGCAAAACAATATTTCTCAATAATTTAAGAGATCGAACCTGTGTGCGGACGCCTTAGCCAAGCTAGGTGCAGATCAACCAGAGGAAATGCTGGTGGTGAATGAACCACCAGCTGAGTTGCGGAGCTATTTGTTGGCAGACCTGTTAGGAATTTCAAGGGAAAGGGCCTAGCCTTCCCTCTGCTTCCTTCTTTCTTTCCGATGTAACCAAAAAAAAAAAAAATTTAAGAGATCCATTTATACGCTTTGATAGTTTACGAGGTCTTTATGTAAAAATCCTTCAGTTTTTTTGAACTTTTTTTGAAAAATTAATACATTTGAAAAGTTGCAAAGATTAATTTTTCTATTTGAGTAAAAAATTTGATGTGATATTTAATTTTTTTAATTGATGACAAATAATTTTTTTAAAACTTTCGGACTCTCATTTTTTTTTTTTTGTTAAAAAAATTACTTCTTCTTCTTCTTCTTCTTCTTCTTCTTCTCTTTTTTTTCTTTTTTTTTTTCTTTTTTTTTTTGTTGTAGATCCTTAAAAGGCCAGAATGAAGTGTTTTACCTAAACAAATATATATATATATATATAAGATCATTCTAAGAAACACATCCTCAAAGAGTATGTATCATACTTAAGTCATCCCAAATATCATAACTAAATCATCTAAAAAGTAAAATTAAAAAAAAAAAATCATAATCAAACACTACATAAAGCATAAAAAATAAATAAATTTGATTATAACCAAAATTATAATCTTAAAAGTCATACATTACTACAACAAATCATTAATCATAATTAATATCACAATATATCATAATTAAATATCACAAATGTCATAGCTGGGGCATATAATTAAATTTTCCATTAAACAGTATCAATCTATTGGAATCATATATTTCACGAAGCTAAGCAATTAAGTACTACTCCAATTCCTCCAATTTCAAAGCCAGAAAAAACACATATCAAAGTTTAAAAATAAAAATAAAAAAGTCAGGCAAACTTGAGTCCCTAAAAGCATCTCTTGGGCTAGCTAAACTACTATTTTAATTCAAATAGTTAGGAAAATTGCACAAAAACAACTTCAACAAACTGATCAAATGACTAGTTAAAGAACACAAAGGCTACAGCATTTCACACATTTAGCTAGTCACTATTCATAGATCATTTATTTTTTTATTCCTTATATCTTCCTCTTATTTCTTACCCACTCTAGTGCTATCTTTTTTATGAACCAAAACATTATTCCTCCAAAAAAAAAATTACTACACATTAATTTGTGAGTTTAGGGTTTAGGGTTTAAGGCTTCAACTGAGGTTGGGCTGGAGAAGCCCTTAACTAAACCGAACTCGCTCAAATTAAAATCACATAATTTTATAAAGAAGCTTTCTAAGGGATTGGCCTGGTGGTTGAGGCACTGCCTTGCCAAACATAAAACTTGATTTGAGTTCTATCATTGTGAATGCATACCACCTTCCCTATTGCACTTCTCTTCTCTTGACCCAAATATATATATATATATATATATAATATTAAATGATAAGATGCAAGTGTACCACATCATTTCGAATATAATGTGTAACTATTTTATTTGTGTGGCTTACTGTAACTCCCATCACACAATTGATATTATGCAACCAAGCTTTTGTCTTTTAAGCAACAACCATGTCAAAAATACAGAGACCAAACACAAAATGAGACACCCTTGTGAGACATCTTTGTCCTATTCTTTGATCCTCTGTACACTTAAGACTTATTGTTCAAGCAATTGATAGTATGTGATCAGTTTTGTGTCTGTAGTAGTGCTAAAGATACCAATTCCCTTGACACAGAAAAGTTGTGTATTCATCTTTTAGGTGATCTGAACCACACTCGAACTTTTTGTGCACATTCTATGGCATGTGTGTGCATTTTTATCTATTTTGCATATTTAGAAACCCACTTCACTTTCACTATCCACAGACAACCCCTCAAGACTGTCAGATCATAGATTTGTATTCTAAATATATACATATATATAAGTAAAAATGAACATAATTTTATTTTACATACATTGCTTTTGACAAATAAGAAACACAGCATAACATAAATTAAGTATTTTCCAACATCTTCCATGCTAAATTTTGCTTCAATGTGAATCCATGACAGGTTTTTGTTCTTTGCTTGCTGGCTGGTTGTAGCATCTGTTGGTTCAACACAGTCTGCTACGTTTTGTGCATCAAAAACTTCTCAGCCAACCGGCCACTGGCGTTGGCCCTCAGCATCAGCTACAACGGCGTAAGCGCCGCTCTCTACAACCTCATCGCAAACGCCATAAACTCGAGTGAAGACACCCTCTACCTTCTTCTCAATGCCCTCGTCCCCCTCATCACCTCCGTCGCTGCTCTCACCCCGCTCCTCCGGCAACCCCCTATCCAATCCCTTCCAGCCGATGCCGTTAGCCGTGACTCCCTCATATTCATCTACCTCAACATCCTAGCAGTCTTCACCGGCCTCTATCTCCTCCTCCTAAACTCACTGTCATCTAACGCAATAACCGCTCGTATCCTCTTAGCCGGTGCCATATTTCTTCTAGTTATCCCCTTGGGTACCCCCGGCATCATCTATGCTAGGGATTGGGCTCGTCGAACGATCCACTCTAGCTTCCGGTTCGAAGGCTCAAGATTCAATTTGGTTGATGTTGATGACCTTGAACTCCACAAAGAACTCATCGGAAGTGGGACTTCGAGCGCTGATGGCACTACCTTCAATGGTAATAATGCACTCGGTTTAAGAGAGAAAAGAGGGTGTTGTTTTGATTTGATTGAGAAGGATCAGTTGACGGTGCTCGGTGAGGAACATCCGGCCAAGTGGGTAGTACGTCGGAGGGATTTCTGGCTATACTACCTAGCTTATTTCTGCGGTGGAACAATCGGGCTGGTTTACAGCAATAATCTAGGGCAGATTTCACAGTCACTTGGATACAGTTCGCAGACTAGCTCCATTGTCACACTCTACTCTGCATGCTCGTTCTTTGGTCGCTTGTTTTCAGCTGCGCCGGACTTCCTACGTGAGTAAGTATTCACTAATGAACCTCATTACTTGCAATTTCATGTGCAAGTCAAATTACTAGAAGTGCACCTTAGGTTTTGCACATCTGACTAGACACGAATACATATCCTACCCTTACTCAGTTTTAAATAACAGTATTTGTAACAGCGATACAGTCATTTATTGGTTAATACTGGACAGTATCGCCCAATATATCGATGAATAACAATATCAAAAGTCCAAAAGTCCAAAATCCCAATATATAATGGCCAATATTTAAAACATTGCCCTTACTCAAACTCGCCTAGCACAAGTAATCATGCATTTAGCAGAGTTCATATAATTTGAGTCCTCTCACTCTTTTTGTTGACAGAAATGGCACTTTGAATGAAATGCATCTCCTTATAAAAAGATGTGGGAGTGTAATCACTGAAAGTGCTTACTACTAATGCAGCAAGGTGTACTTTGCGAGGACCGGGTGGTTCATGCTTGCACTTGTGCCAACACCAATCGCCTTCCTTCTTCTTTCTCTATCAGGCAGCAAGACCGCTTTAGTTGCCGCCACTGCCATGATTGGGCTTAGCTCAGGGTTTGTATTTGCAGCAGCCGTGTCGATCACATCAGAGCTATTTGGACCAAACAGTGCTGGGGTCAACCACAACATTCTCATAACCAACATCCCACTCGGTTCAATCCTCTACGGTCTAGTCGCAGCTCTGGTCTACGATGCAAACATAGATAGCTCAAACCAGGTGGTTCTAATGGGGGAATCAATGGTGTGTATGGGAAGAGAATGCTATTTCGACACATTTGTATTGTGGGGTTGCATGTCTTTGTTGGGCCTAGCTTCGAGCTTCTTGCTTTTCCTAAGAACCAAGCACGCCTACGATCGCCTTGAGAGGACACGAAATCAGACCTAATTCTCCTAGTTGATGACTTGGTCCTATCCTGATGGGAACCGATTTGGGGGATTTAAGCTTGAAAATGGATTAGGGTATTAGTGAGAATGTAAGTGGTGTGAAAAAAAGCTTATACAAATGAGATTCAATAGACAGAAACATATACTTCAGGAGATGAGAAAAGGTTTTCGAGAATCCCACCTTCAAGATTGTAAAATTGAAGGCAACAGGGGAGGGTTGCCCCTTGTGTAGCCCATTTTATGAACTTCACAATGTAAAGAGGCACCAAAAAGAAAACAAACATAAAGAAAGAGAAAAGGAGCTTGAACTTCCAATCTAGCATGAGTTTAACAAATAATTCAAATTATTTAGTCATTTGAGCTCACAAATAAATAAATTAAAAAAATTATTCAATTAAAAAAATTGAATTAATATGACCTGAACATGGATAAAAATATATATATATTCTTTCAAGTGTTTATGAGATGAATTAGAATTCAGAATCAAAATAGCAGAAAAGGAATGACAGCAAAAGGGGACCAAATACCTTTAGACAGCAAGTGCAATTTTCTTGACCTTGTTATTGAGGATGAATTGAAGTGGTAGGTGGTGGAGGTACAACAAAAGAGAAAAAATGAAAGTGAAATAAGCACACAATTATTTGCATTGAAAATCTTTATTATTTCTAACCATATAATATGATACATTACATAAATTGGTACAACTTAGTTGACTGGTCAAACAATACCTAACTCAAGATAAGATATCTAATCTGCATTAAGATTGAACACCACCAAACAGTACTTGGTTCGTAAACTATTGAGGTAGTCGTGGATATCTAGCAAAAAAAATTCTTAGGAAACTTAATTTCCAGAAAAAGAGGAGGCAGGGGGAACATCTAATGTGAAGTCTGAAATATAAGAATTAACTGATTGAACATGCAGACTATGTTGTTCTCACAATTGTCAGTATTTAGTAAGATGCTAAGTTAGGTCCAAGAACAAAGTTTGATTAAAGCTCATGAATAAGATCAAATAGGAAATGACAGCCTAACTTTGAAAAGGGTCAATTGATCATTGTTGACGGAGAGGGGTTGAGGTGGCTAAGGACTGAAACTAGTATCGCCGGAGACCACTGGCGGTGGGAGATGAGAGAACCAAAGATAGTCTTAGCAGAGAAAGAGAAGGTGGCAGTGGAGCACCGGGGAAAAGGGCAAGGGGTGATGGATGTTATGCATGGCCCAAATGGAGGTCCCCTTTATATAGGGTAGTGAGCCAAGGGAAGCCAACTTAATCAAGCACACATGGCATGACTCCCTCAGCTAGGCAAAATGGAGGGAAATATAGTCAACTCTATAGCCTTTGATGTCGGTCTCGACAGATGTAGTATATGTGGCCAGATAGTAGGTATAATACATACCTTTATGGGCGTGTTAGGGTAGTTCAGAGGTAGGTATGATACAACTTTCGATGTGTCAGAACTTGGACAAAGCCCCTCTCTCTAAGACTGGTCTGAGTGGGCCTTGTCCCATAGGGGTAGCTCGATCAGCGCCCTAGATGAACTTTGAGTTCCAGCCTCCAATTGGCATGTACCCTAGGTCCTGCTCCCAACCTAGGTAAATGCAATCATCCCAACTTCGAGATGGAGATCCAACTGGGTGGGGCTGTGGGGTTGCTAACCAGCCCTGAGCTTGAGTAAGCTAGGCAATGCTAAGTATAGTTTAGGGTGCCCAACTTGGTGATTGGTCCACGTGTATATTGGTCTGAACTGACATGTGGCATGTGAGGCTTGTTGTATGTTGAAATGGCATAGCCAGTGGGCGCCACATGTCAAAGTGGGCCCATATGCTCACAATCATAAATCCATATTTAGCTTGTCTACATCAAAATTCAAGTAAACTTACCTAAGAAATCTCAACTCTCAGACTCTATTAAACTGTTTGCATACCCCATTTCCAGTTGAAGAAAATACACAATGATATGATAGAAGTTTCTACCGGTTTTTTGCTAAAGTACTATAAGAGGTGAACTCAAACTTCAGTAATTGCAGAGATTAGGATAAATAGCAAGAACATTGTCACTGTTCCCAAAATTTTCTAAGACCATGGTAGCATGAATCCTTTTCGAAAACTTCGCTACTATATGACATCTGAAGTCCATTCTTACCCCTTATTTAAGTGTTGTTCGAGTTAAATTTCGCTACTATATAACATCTGAAGATAAGCCCCATGCATTTAAACATCAAACCCAGGTACATATACATAAAACAGCAAAGCTACTCTGTTAGAATTTCACATACCTTTTAGTCGCTTTTAAGAAAAGTGGAATCTTGTACTAAAAATTAGATTAATCTTCCCATCACTAGGGAGATCCTAATCGATAATTATAGGAGTGCTTGAAGTCTCACCATTTACCCTTTCTAGCAATTGAGATGGAAAATCACCTCTGAGAATTTGAACTCTGAACTTGAGATTCATCTTGCTGATTTCCATGAGTTCAAATACACATGCATCCCCAACCTTCAGACCATTATCAATAGCAAATTCTTTCCAGTTGAACCTTTTGGCACTTTTTTCTCCATAGTAAATCATCTCCCATTTCTTGCCACAATAAGTAAGAACCACAGGGACTGTAGAACAAGGAAGCATAGACTGGATTTTCACCGGAAGAACCTGATAGCACCAAAGAAAACTTCTATAAATTCACTTCGCACATTAACCAGTCTTTGTAAAAATAGTGTGTACAATTAATGGCATAAGTTGTGCTCATCTAACATAGCATTACTTCTTGCAAATCGCTGATAATGAGACCAATGATATGGACATCTCACAACTTCATTGAAACTATGTTACATGGACTCGAATAAGAGTGTTGGGTGAGGGCATTTGCGTTGAAATGTCCAATCCATCTAATTTCCATGCCCACGGACATGGAATGATGTCCTAGGTACACAGCAAAATATTCATCTTTCTTTAATATACTGTTTTTTACTTTCTAGGGTAAAATTGTATTCACAATGCGTCATATAGACACAATTTCATGTAGGACACAATTTTAGGAGTTTCTATAGTTTTTATATCGTATTGGACTGGGAATCTTGTAATTTAAAATGGAATATCCTAAAATTATTAAATTTCCTAATTTGCACTAATTTAGTTTTTCTAAATTTTAGATTGTTTGGCCTCCAAGGTTTAGCTTGTTATAAATACTTACGTAATGTAAACCTTAGAGCGGGAAAAAAAAAAAAAAAAACTTTCTATCAATAATATTTAGAGATTTTCTTTTTCTTATGAATTCAAGATTTTCTTTTGGATTTGAGTGTCCCTTTCATATACTAAAACAATATCTAGTTCCCGTATGTATTCCACAATATTACATTACTTGCGTAATACAGTTTTACACAAGTTTTATAGTAAACTCGAATTACTAAATATGTTCTCTAGATGAATGTCCAACTACACATTGGGTACAAATCGAATACCCTTAGTCAAATTTCAAGTGAGAAGTAACCCCAAAGGGTTGGCCGAGAGGTAAAGACTTGAGGATAAGATCCAAAATCTTTGAGTCACCCCAAGGGGGCACTGGAGTTTTACCCAGTTGTTAACTTCAAGGCTCAAGACTAGTCAAGGTGCATGCAAGCTGGCCCGAACACTCGGTTATCAAAAAAAAAAATGTCAAGTGACAAGTGTCAGACACAGGTACTTTATGCATGAGAGTCCAAATAACATAGCTAAAAACATAGCACCTTTCAAATTAACCACTAGTTTTTTGATGCACCAATCATAAAGCTAGAATTATATGTGTGCCACAGTTAAATGAACACTTAATACACCATATCAACTAGCTAGCATTGGACTGGAATCAAATGTTCACCAAATCAATCATGCATTAATGATAAAGTGATTACCAAGTGATACAAGGGTTTGAGCTGAGATTTAACTAGAAACACATGAAAGCATGGTTTCCCCGAAAGTGGCCAAAATTTATCGTCCCCAAATTCAGTTGTTGTATGGTCCAACATATGTTGGGTCTTTGGATCTATCTTGAGATATTCAACAGGTTGTGCCATTGGGTTCTCAATTTGACTATTTTCAACAGTTTAGACCTTTAGCTTATCCATCTGGAGAATTTCAACTTCATTGTTAGGAAAACTTGCCAAGGATAAAAAATATTCCCAAAGTTAGTTTATGAAAGTACGCATGATAACTGAGCAATGAAGAAGACAAATTCTCAGAGTGCCAATAGAAGAATTTTATTAAAGATCAAAAGAAGCACAAATTGAGGACAAGGAAGACAAAAATACTAAGAGATATTATGATATGATGTAGTGAGGAGGTTCCCAAATGATAATGGATCAAAGTCAATTTGAACGGTATAACCAAATAAAATAGCCGAATGGCTGCTTTTTTAATTTTTTTTTTTTTAATAATCAAACATATGCACTAAAGAATGCCAAAAGAGAGAGCAGAACTAAGTTGCATGCAGGGTAATATGAGAATATGCATGTTATTTATTAGGGATTATTAGACTAAAGGAAATAAATGACGAATTATTTACATTCAAGTCAATTAAAAGATTTAGTGTTTTAGAAAGTCTATGTGCTATGAACTTATTTACATATGAGTCAAAATCACATTTAAAGTAATGGAAAATTCGTTGTTTCCCATGATGATATTGAACGAGACACTGCCGTAGCTGGCGCTAGAATGAACTAGCTCAGGTTTCGGCTAGAATGAATTAGTTCAGATTCCTGCGGGACGTTCATTAACCAAAGTCATGTATGACCCACAAGTCAACGGCATGCTTGTTGCATCGCACTTCTAGCATCATATACTCCACCCTCACGAAGTGCTCATACCACGTCTGGTCCGGTTTGCTATAATTTGATAACCCGATGACTGAGTTGTTGCCAACTAGGGTAGCAGCGAGCCCGACTATGTGGGACACAGAGCGAGAGGACATTTAGTTGAGTGGGAGGTTGAGGGCGGAGCGCATGGAGGCTGGAGACAGCAGAGTCGTCAAAGCTGTTAAATTGGAACTTCAGGTAAAGGAAGGGGCAGAGATGATGGCACTCTGGCTAGCCCTGTTGTAGACTGATCTGATAGTTTTAAAAGCTATTCTTGACTGATCTGATGCTTTAGAGTATTTAACATGACTCATCATCTATTGAATTCCAATCAGCATCATTCCCCATTCTTGTTCTTTAACTCACATCTTCAGTCTTAGATCTTCTGTCATTACATCTGTCTGTAGTCATCATTCTTCGATGATTGGCTGAAGACATTACGAGAAACTGAAGCGGTTCATTCCTGTTTCATTCCCGTGTCTGATGGTATTCATGTAGGACAAGTACATGGGCAAAAGACCTTTCAATTGCATCAAGTGTGATTTTTGACTCATATGTAAATAAGTTTGGAATGTATATACTTTTAAAAATTCAATCTTTTAGTCGTCCTGGTTGTGAATAAATTTTCATTTATTTCCTTTTTTGTAATAATCCCTATGTATTATCTACTAAGTCAAATTCTCCATGGACCAAGGTGGAAGGGGGTTTGGGGTTGCAGAGGTTGGTTAGGTTCAATGTGGCTTTGCGGGGGAAGTGATTGTGGCGCTTTGTCGGGGAGCGGGATCATCTTTGGAGGAGGGTGGTGGTGGCAAAATTTGGGTTGGGGAGGGGTGAACGGTGTTCGGGAAGAGTGGTGCAGTCTCATGGCCATGGTTTGTGGAAGGGGATTTGGTTGGGTTGGGAGGAGTTTTGGAGAAGGGTTAGGTTAAAGGTAGGGGTGGGGGATAGAATTTGATTTTTGAGGGATACATGGTGTGGTGACTTGTCTTTAGAATCACGGTTTCTTTTGATTTTTGCCATTGCTGTTAATCGAGAGGTGACGGTGGATGCTGTGGTAATTGGGAAAGGGTAGTCAGCTGTTTGGGATGTGCATTTGCGTCATGATGTCCAGGATTGGGGGCAAGATAAGTTGGTGGAGCTTTTGGGTTTCCTATATGGGTTGCAGGTTGGGGGAAAGGTGAATTTTCTCTAATTTGGATTGTCCTAGGGCTAAGGGGATGTTCTCTGTGTCCTCGTTCTATGATGCATTTGTTAAGGTTGATACTTGTGTGTAGGTGCCAGGGACGCCATCTAAGGAAGCTTTTTTCGTTTGGACAGTGACTTTGGAGCATATTCTACCTATTGATTATCTAATTCGCCATGACCATATATTGGTGAATTGGTGTAGTTTATGTTGCGAGGGCACAAAGTCGGTGGATCATTTGCTTATTCACTGTCCGGTTTCTTCTCGACTTTGGATGCTTGTGGTTGTGACTTTTGGGTTGGTTTGGGTGCAGGCAGTCTTGTAGAGTTGGGTAGGGAAAAGGGTTGGGAGAAGGCGTCAGAAGGCTTGGATACTTGCTTCTCATTGCTTAATGTGGCTGATTCGGTTGGAACATAATAGACGGGTGTTTTAGGGGGTGTCTCATTTGATTCCTTGGTTAGAAAGGAGCCTTTTACTATGTTATATAGTTGGGTGACAAGCAAGGTTGATCCAAATGTTTTGGCTACTGTAGATTTTGTGAAGGATTTGATTTGTTAGTTTTGTTAGGCCTTCTTGGCTTCCATTTTTGTATTATTTGCGTCATCTTGATGCTTTTTAATAAAGTTTGGTTATTTATCAAAAACAAAAGTCAAATTCTACATGGAAGTCTATAAAAGAATTTATAGAAGAGAAAGACACAAGAAGCCACATAAATAGGTAAATAAATAACTATACAAATAAAAATAAAACTAAACAGGCAAACAAATAAACTGGCTACACTCAACATTGTATACTTCGACATATTACCTTGATCTTGAATTTTCACTACCTCAAGAGTCCTTCATTCCTCTCCTTCCAAATGCACTACATCACACACGAAAGGAATAATTACCCACACCCTTTTCACCCTTGATCAAACTCCTTACCTTCCCCAACAATCCTCAGCATGAGTTTACAGCATCGGATGTGTTAAACAAGTCATCCCATAATCTATAAAGCATAAGTACTTCGAAAAACATGTCATACCCCTACTGGGTAAGTATTGAAGGATTTGATTTGTTAGTTTTGTTAGGCCTTCTTGGCTTCCATTTTTGTATTATTTGCGTCATCTTGATGCTTTTTAATAAAGTTTGGTTATTTATCAAAAACAAAAGTCAAATTCTACATGGAAGTCTATAAAAGAATTTATAGAAGAGAAAGACACAAGAAGCCACATAAATAGGTAAATAAATAACTATACAAATAAAAATAAAACTAAACAGGCAAACAAATAAACTGGCTACACTCAACATTGTATACTTCGACATATTACCTTGATCTTGAATTTTCACTACCTCAAGAGTCCTTCATTCCTCTCCTTCCAAATGCACTACATCACACACGAAAGGAATAATTACCCACACCCTTTTCACCCTTGATCAAACTCCTTACCTTCCCCAACAATCCTCAGCATGAGTTTGCAGCATCGGATGTGTTAAACAAGTCATCCCATAATCTATAAAGCATAAGTACTTCGAAAAACATGTCATACCCCTACTGGGTAAGTATTGGGTACTAGTACTTTGCATGGTTACTTCTACATGCATAATGGATACACGAAACACATAACCCAATTTTTTTTCTTAATTTTTCTCGTACCCTAGAGGTACCTAGTGTGTATATATATATATACATATAGTAAAGTTAGTTTCATTGGAATTTTTTCTCTATGCTTAACATGATTTTAAAAGCTTTCGTTTGTAGGTTCTTTAATATAATGACATTTAACTTTGTTTATACCTTACTTTTGGCATTAAAATGTGGGTTGTAAGTTGGATCTTTAACCAATTAAGTCATTTAACTAATTTGTGCATTACTCCAAAATAAAATATATTTTCTTTTACAAATGTACCTAGCCATAACAGTATCCTTTTTTTATAGATTTTACCGTATCAACGTACCAATACTCATATCAATGCCTGTACATGTGCTTCATTGCCCATAATGCACTAACACTTCCCTCTTCCTTTGTGATGCTCCTCTATAGGTTCAACACAAATTAAAAACTATTCTAGCTCTCCATCTTAAATAATCAATAGTTCATTAGCTCCTCAAAAACTTCAATGCAAAAGAGTCACCTTGAACAACATCTTCATCTATGAAATTTCTTCCCACAGGAAAAGCGGAACCTCCCAGACAATAACACTTAGTAGAACAATTTCCTGCTAACTTAATTCCTTCAAGCCATCTTCCACCTTTGCTCATCCACCATACATCTTATTAGGACCATGTAAATCATCTCAAAAGGAGTCCATTGCATCGAACTCCCACTTATGTAATACTTTATAGAAAATATTAGACCATACCATCTTCAAGGTTCATAGTGAGGTCTCTTTATCCAATTACCCTCAAAACCATGAAAACAACATATCTCATGCAGTCGGTCCTAACCGCGAAAGTAATGAGTTCCCAATCGACCACAAGATGCAACCAGCCTTCACACTCCTTACTTCCATATGAATTTACCTAATAGAGTTCAATTGGAAATACCTAACTACTGAATATTGAACCATACAAACCTCCAATTTTGACAATAACCACACAAAAAAATTGCGTTTTGGGGATATTCCAACTTTAACAATATCCAAGAAGTACTACAACCACCAGACAACATGAGAGTAAGCAACAAACTAAAGAAGAATGATAAGGTGCAATACAACTAAAGAAGATTGATAAGATGCAATACAGGGGATATATTAAAGCCATCCAACTACTATGAAGATGTCTAAACCACCAGCATATTGAAAATCCCCCCTAGTTTAATTTATTGCAATACATTTAGGGGTGATATACAAGCCAAACAGTGAACTGTTCAAGTTTGGTTTGAAAATTTTAGCGAATTTCAAAATTTGTTCAAGTTTAGTTCGTTTTTGAGCCGTATTCACCCAAAAACACTTTTGAGCTGATTTCAAATGAGCTTTTGTCGAGCCAAGCTCGAGTAGTTTGGTATTTTTAAATAATTTTAGGCTTATTGAACCGGCCCGAATGAGCTATTGACTATTCAAGCTTGGTTTGAAAACTTTAATCAGTTCCAAAATGTGTTCAAGATTGAATTGTCTACTTAATAAAATGAGCTCAAACGAGCTTTTAACGAACCAAACACGAGTCAAGCTCAAGTTGTATGGTTCAATTATCACCCCTAAATACATCTACCCTTTTGGCAAGCTCTAGCAAAGTGAAATGCTTTTTACATATCAACTAACTAAAAGTCCTAGCACACACTACGTGTTTGGTAAATGGCTTCAACTACATTTATATAATAAAATAGATAGAAGAATAGATATGTATACACACATAACTGCATTATAAAAGTTCTACATTAAGAGTAACCCAGAAATAGCAAACTTGGATTTTGCAGATCAGAATATGATTCAAAATAAATGCATAATAAGAAAATCAAATTTTCAAAAAGATTTGGATTGAGGACGGATCAGACTTCATGACTTTCTCAGTGATGTTGATTCTTTATGAAAAAACAGATTAAACCCAAAAAAAAAAAAAAAGGGAAGAAGAAGAAGAAAGGCTTGAGGTTTCACTTACTGAATAAAATTCATTTCCAGGGTTCTGCGACTGCTGTGAAGTGGAATGAATGGTCTAGTGTTGTATTGGAAATTCAAAACTCCAAGAGTAATCATAACTCTGCGAAAAGATTCGAGAAAACAACATGTGGATGCTGTTTTTTGGGTGCTGAGAAATCGACGGAAAATGGAAGACAAAAATTAAATGAGCACTTGGCAAGGCTTGTCTTTTGTTCAGCTGTAGTCGTTGACTGAATTGTCAGGGGGCTTCCTATTTGCGAACACCACTTTCCCTTTTTCGGCACACATTTTTTTTTATTGCATCTTTATTCTAAAATGAAATTACTAAAGTGGTGTGTGGTAATACTACGTTTTATGTTTTCTATTTATATTTATAAAAATTTAAATAAAAATTTATTTGGTAACTTCGGGATTATTTGAGAAATCCGTTACATGTAGTTGAGCCAACATATGTGCCTTTGAAAGATGATTATACTTACGAGGAATGACCAATTCAAATTGTCAACCGAAGAATCAAAAGATTGAGAAACAAAGAGATTCTATTAGTGAAGGTTGATTGGCAAAATCATGGAAGAACTTATGCAACATGGGAAACAGAAGAAGATATGATGAAGAAATATCCGGACTTGTTTCCATGGGACTGTACGTTCTTCCGAAATGAAGGTAATTCAAGTTTGGAGGACCAAACTCTTTAAGGGGGGAAGACTGCAACAACCCCGAACTATGATTAGTCATTAAACCATGATTAAGAATGTCTAATAAGTAATTAAGAGGAAATTATAAATATATTGCATGTGTATTGTGTTATTTGTGATTATATCTATTTGACGTAGAAATATCTGTCTAACTTTCTGATTCAATATGCAAATTGAAGGCTCTATTGGCATTCGATCACGAATTTGCCTAGGTTAATGTGTTATTTTGAATTTTTAGAATTTTCTGGTAAGATTACGTAGAATTCAATTCGGAACTAAATAATTAGAATAAAATAATTGTAATTGATTAGTTTAATCAATGATTAATTAATTTAGCTTAACCAAGCCTATACAAGGCTAATTTGATTCTAGAATAATATAAAACACTCTCGTTGTGTCATCTTTGAGCTCCCAAACGTGAGTGTGTGTGTGTGTGAGAGAGAGAGAGAGAGAGAGAGAGAGAGACCAAGAGAGAATTGAGATCAAAGCTTGAGGATGAAGAACTTCTTAGAAAATTGAGGAATTTGGCTTGGAAACTCAAAGACATAGCAATCTAGAGCCTAATTAAAGAATTAAGGTAAGAATTCAACCTATAAACAAAGTGTTTGAATCAAATACCAAACGTGTTTGTAGTTTATGTTTTTCTAAAAATAAATAAAAAATAAACAAAAACCAGTTTATAAAATTTTTGTAAATATAAACTGAAAACGTAAACATTACCAAACACACCTTAAACTATCCCTTTCTTCTTCAACTAAACTCTTACCCTAATTATTCCCACCGCTGGCCACCACCCCCTCTGTCGCCTCTCCCACCAACCCCCTTCTTCTCGAATCGAAGTCCCTCCTCACCCCATCACTCGTCGCTCACACTCCCCAGTCCCTCTTTTCTCCCATCGAATCCCTCTTCCCAGTGGCGGAAAAAGTAAGGGACCAGGGGGTCACATGTCCCTCCTAAATTTTGGAATTTTTTTTTAGTTTGCAAACATAAAGAAAATATTTTAAATAAAAAAAATTACAAAAATATTATTAGAATGAAATGTCAATGACATTTTAAAAATTATGAGAACAATAATGGTTTAGTAAAAGCTGAACATCAACGACATGCTGGATTACTTCAGCCGCTTCCAATACCGGAATGGAACTGAGAGCATGTTACGATGGACTTCATTGTCGGTCTACCTCGTTCTTCTAGAGATGTGGACTCTATTTGGATAATTGTTGATCGTTTGACTAAATCAGCACATTTTTTACCTGTCAAAACTTTTTGTAATGCGGATAAATTGGCTAATATTTATGTGAATGAGATTATGATATTTCACGGAGTGACGGTATCCATTGTGTCTGATAGTGATTCAAAATTTACTTCAAGATTTTGGCAGAGTTTACAATAAGCCTTGGGAACAGAACTGAGGCTTAGCATTGCTTATCATCCACAGACGGATGGCCAATCTAAACGAACCGTTTAAACCTTAGAAGATATGCTCAGAATGTGTGCATTAGATTTCCAAGGAAATTGGGAAGCTTATTTGCCATTGGCCGAGTTTGTGTACAACAACAGTTATTACTCAAGTATCGGTATGGCTTCTTATGAAGCATTGTATGGTCGAAAATGCTGATCTCCAATTTGTTTGGCCAAAGTAGGTGATAAACCATTATTGGGACCGAAATTGGTCCAATAGACAATTAAGAAAGTGAAACTGATTCAGCAACGTTTGAAAATTGCACAAAATCGTCAAAAGAGTTATGCGGATGTCCAGAGAAGAGAAAGAGAATATGAAGTCGGTGATCATGTGTTTATAAAAGTAACTCCAAAAAAGCAAACTTGATTTGGGGTTAAAGGCAAGTTGGCACCACGGTACGTTGGCCCGTATGAAATCATTGAGAAAATTAATCTGGTGATGTATTAAGTGGCCTTACCTCCGTTATGGGGAATATGCACAATACTTTTCATGTTTCAATGCTTCGGGATTATTTGAGAAATCCGTTACATGTAGTTGAGCCAACATATGTGCCTTTGAAAGATGATTATACTTACGAGGAATGACCAATTCAAATTGTCAACCGAAGAATCAAAAGATTGAGAAACAAAGAGATTCTATTAGTGAAGGTTGATTGGCAAAATCATGGAAGAACTTATGCAACATGGGAAACAGAAGAAGATATGATGAAGAAATATCCGGACTTGTTTCCATGGGACTGTACGTTCTTCCGAAATGAAGGTAATTCAAGTTTGGAGGACCAAACTCTTTAAGGGGGGAAGACTGCAACAACCCCGAACTATGATTAGTCATTAAACCATGATTAAGAATGTTTAATAAGTAATTAAGAGGAAATTATAAATATATTGCATGTGTATTGTGTTATTTGTGATTATATCTATTTGACGTAGAAATATCTGTCTAACTTTCTGATTCAATATGCAAATTGAAGGCTCTATTGGCATTCGATCACGAATTTGCCTAGGTTAATGTGTTATTTTGAATTTTTAGAATTTTCTGGTAAGATTACGTAGAATTCAATTCGGAACTAAATAATTAGAATAAAATAATTGTAATTGATTAGTTTAATCAATGATTAATTAATTTAGCTTAACCAAGCCTATACAAGGCTAATTTGATTCTAGAATAATATAAAACACTCTCGTTGTGTCATCTTTGAGCTCCCAAACGTGAGTGTGTGTGTGTGTGAGAGAGAGAGAGAGAGAGAGAGAGAGAGACCAAGAGAGAATTGAGATCAAAGCTTGAGGATGAAGAACTTCTTAGAAAATTGAGGAATTTGGCTTGGAAACTCAAAGACATAGCAATCTAGAGCCTAATTGAAGAATTAAGGTAAGAATTCAACCTATAAACAAAGTGTTTGAATCAACAAGAGAATGAATTCAAGTGAATTAGGTGATTTAATGCAAGATTAAAACTAGGATTGAAGAATCTAAGTCATACCACGCATTCAAGCATATTTTCTTACATTTTGAGCTTAAGTTTCAAGAACTCCGACATGCATGTAGTCATTCTAGCTTGGTTTTGGAAATTCATCAGGTTTTACATTGTTTTACCTCAATTAATCATGTTTTGGAAGGATAGAATTTGTATCAACTCTTGCATGTATTACACATTGAGTTTCAAGTTTGAGTTCAAACAATTGACTTGCTTTTGGGCCTTGATTTTGCAAAATAACCTTCAATTCATGATGTTATTCTAGTTTAGACATGTTTTCTCAACTCTTGGGCCCAAAGGATGTGTTTTGAAGCTTTGAATTTGAGTTTTGGAGTTGGAAGTGCAGCCTGGAAATTCCAGAATTCGCACTCTTCGCTCGAGCATAAGAAGTTGCACTTGAGCGAAGAATGCGAGCTCTCAGTACTTTTGCAGAGTTAAGGGATTGGCTCGAGCGACAGAACCTGCATTCGAGTGACCACCCTTATTTGTGATCCTCAGCTTAAGCGTAGAAAGTTGTGCTCGAGAATAAAATGAGAGCTCCTAGAAGTTTTGCAGACTAAGGGGGTCCGTTCGAGCGACCAATGTTGCGCTCAAGCGAACTGCCCTATTTTCGAAATTTTAACTAAGTGTTTTAAAGTGCATTTTGATATCCTCATTGCATCCTAGGCATTTCTAAGCCATGATTAAGACATAATAATGAGGATAAGGATTAAAAACACACCAAGATAGAAAAGAAATGAATTAAGTGTTTTCCAAGCGTGTGTTTCAATGTGTATCCACTATGTATTTGTGTAGGTCACGCGCCATAGACTATCTGATCCGTCTATTCTAACTCTTCTGCTACTGGAGTTATCTATGAGTAGCAACTCTATAAAACTATGTTTGATTATAAGTATTTTTATGACTGATATGATACGATATGTTTTCTGAAATACTATTTTACGAATCATAAATGAATATCCAATTTTCTGAAATGTATTTGTGGCATCCTTAGTTCACGTGGCCCTCGCCCGGAGAAGACAATCCCGTGGCCAATATACACGTGACTCTCGCCTGGGGGAAACAATACCATGGCTTATGTTCATGTGGCCCTCGCTTGGGGGATACAATACCATGACTACTTGTGCACAAGATATTGACCTTTATGGTCGTCAGTACTGACTATGCATGTGGGTCTCATGACCAATCCGATCTGATAACTAATGGATGTACCACATATAACTACTTATAACTTCTGGATAAGTATGTGAATCTAAATCTGTTTCTGATATGAACTGTTACTTCTGAATCTGTTTTGGACATCATTCATAAACCTCTTACTTTGTTATTATTCATTAGGCTCCAGCTCACTATATTATTTATGTATATAGGTGATCAGGTGTGGAATCAGGCTTAAGTTATTGCTTGGAATTCTGTTTTGTTAAGCCAACCACAGTGCCTTCCGAAGAGGTTCCCAAGTGTTTCAAACATCCAAGTCAAGTGTAAGTGATGTCTGTCTTATCTTTTCCTTTTTCTTTTGGAACAAGACTTTTGTTTAGACTGTATAAAGGGCTAAGCCCCACTTTGTTTTGTCTGCTTTTGGGTGACGTAAGGCTGATGTATATATGTATGACATCACATATATGTGAATACAAG